GGGGCAGGGAGCAGCGGCCGCCACAGCCTGGGCGAGGAAGATGGGTGGGAGGGTATCTTGTCTCCTGTGCCCTGGTGTGCACGGAGGCGGTGGGGGACAGGTGAGAGATGGGGGCCGGGGCACCCCCAAGAAGGGCAGCGGGTCCCGAGAGTGGGAGCAGGGAGGGGCAGGTGGCCCTGCAGGGAGCCCAGCCCTCCAGTCCCCAGACTCCCAGCCAGCCTGTCTCCGTCTCTCCCTACACATAGCGGCACATGCTTTCTATCTGCCTGAGGGTTGGAGAAGTGCCCCCAAAACTGGGTGCCCCCAAGGCCCCTGGCAGAGAGCAAGGCTGGGTGTCTAGGGTAATTCACTGAGGCCCCAGGGCAGGGCCTCACCTGCCAGGAGGGGATCACAAGGGCCCAGGATGTGGCCTGGGCCTCCCTGGGATGGTGGTCAGCCCCAGGCAGCACCGACAACTGGGCTCGGCCTTCGCCCAATGCTCAGTGGTCCCAGTGGCCAGCACCGGGGAAGACAGTACAATTCCCAGCCGGCCTAGGGACCTTGGCGTCTGGGACAGGAGCAGCTGGGCGCGGTCCCCTAAAGGCGGTCCCTGGTTCAAGGCCTACCCCGAGGAGGGGGTCCTCACTGCTGCTGCCCATCCCAAAAGGGCTGGGCCCCAGGCCGGCCGGCCAAGGGCCACCCCAGACCCCTGGCTCATCCAGGCCAGCCCTCCTTCTGGCCCAGGGCCGCCAGCCCCCAGGAAGCCCGGCCTGGGCTGTCTCAAGCACAAGCCCTGGGCCTAGGGCCGGGCAAGGGCAGCCCTGAGCAGGGCCCCTCTCAACTGCTGCCTGGATCAGGGTAACCCAGGTGGGTGCTGGTGGCCCGGCCCCCAAGTCCCTGCCTCTGCGTCTGCCAGAGCCCCGTGAAGTGCGCAAGGTGACCCGGAACTCTGCCACCCTTCGAGGGCCCAGCTGCCCTGCTGGCCCACATTCATTGCATTTATGGAGCCCGGCTACACGGTCTCACCCCAGGGCACCCCAAGGCCCTCAAAGGGCATGCAGCACCCCAGGACTGTGAGCCTCCCGCTCTCCAGGAGGGCCTTGGACGGGACAGACAGGTGCTCTCTAGGCTGGGGCCCCTCCCAACAAGCTCATGTCCCTTGGGGACCAGAGAAGGGCAGTGACAGCCTAGGGTTGCACAGCGCACAGCTGACTTGTCTCCCTCTACCCCACACAAAGATCACCGCTCCCTCCGCACCAGGCTGCCCGGGGCGGGACGCAGCTCTGTCCCTGGTGGGATGGAGCCTGCGGCCCCTGGCGGAACAGCTGCTGTCCCGGCAGGGTGGCCCCGACCTCTCCACCCTCCAAACCCTCTGGCAACCCCTGGCCGCGCCTCGCGGTAGGGCCCTGGCCTCTC